AACCCTAAACCCTAAACTGGCCCTGCTTGAGGTCTCCGAATCTGTCGTAGAAACTCTTGCGAATGTCGTGGGTCAAAACCTCTTGAGCTTTTTTTAATTCCAAAAAATAATCTTCGGGAGAAAAGTTTGCTGCTTGAGGTGGATGTACACCCGAAGAGGCCACGCGGTCCGGGTGGTACTTCTTCGACACGTTCCGGTAACCCTAAGCCCCAAACCCTAAACCCTAAACCCTAAACCCTAAACCCCAAACCCTAAACCCCAAACCCTAAACCCTAGGCCCTGGGCCCTAGGCACTAAACCCTGAGGCCAGCGGCGCTGACGCAGAGGTGCTCGTGGCAGCAGCTCAACGCGCCACCAAACCCTAAACCCTAAACCCTAAACCCTAAACCCTAAACCCTAGAGGGGCAAGGCGCTGCAGCAGAGCTGCTCGCGGCTGCGGAAACCTCCGCAAACCCCAGCAGCTCAACACGCCGTCGCACCCCAAACCCTAAACCCTAAACCCTAAACCCTAAACCCTAAACCCTACCTGGAGAATATCATTTTTTGTCGCATGCACATCCACTTCCAAAATGGAGTAAAAATTATTCCGAGGAGTCGCCACAGGCAGATAGGCCAAGTACATCAAAATGGCAGTCAGAACTGAACGCAAATTAGGGTTTAGGGTTTAGGGTTTGGGGTTTGCGGCGGCGCCCGGCAGGGCCAGCGTAAAGCCTCGTGAGGAGGGTTTGCGGGTAAGTAAATGCACTGCTAGGGTTTAGGGTTTAGGGCTCGTTGCAGCAAAGAAACGCAATGTAAAAAACTCTTCTGGGGTTTAGGGTTTACAGGTAGGGTTTAGGGTTTGGTCACGGTTTAGGGTTTCTAGGGTTTGCAGCTCTGCGAGGGTTTGTGCCCTGTGCAAGCTTCAAGCTTTTAGGGTTTCTCTAGTGTTTAGAGCTATGAGGGTTTAGGGTTTAGGGTTCTCTCCTCAACGAGGCTTTAGGGTTTAGACCTTCAAGGTTTTAGGGTTTAGGGTTTTCGCCCAAACAAGGGTTTAGAGCTTCAAGGCTCTAGGGTTTAAATTCTCGCCTCAACGAGGGTTTAGGGTTTAGGGTTTAGAGCCTCAAGGCTCCGCGGTGTAAGACTTTCGCCTCAATGAGGGTTTAGGGTTTAGGGTTTAGGGTTTAGGCACCTGGAGTCCTTATATAAGCTACGAGCTTCGCCTGGCGCTGCGGCAGCAGCTGCGGCAGCTTTGGGGACAGCAGCAAAACAGCAGCAGCCCCGTAAACCACCGTTTGCTGCAGCACCTCATCTGCTGCTCCCGACATCTTGCTGCTGCTGCTGCTGCTGCTGCTCTGTCGGCGTTGCTGCTGGTGAGCTGGCGCTGCGCCTGCTGCTTCCACTGCGGCGGCCGCTGCTTGCGCTGCTGCTGCTGCTGCTGCTGCTAGTGCTGCTGCTGGTCGTGGGGCCGCTGCTGCTGCAGGCGAATCGGCTGCAGCAGCAGGAGCAAGGAGACAGTTGGTACAAGGCCTCCTGGAGGCCTCAATGCTGTTGCCTTGCTGCTGCTGCTGCTGCTGTTGCTGCTGCTGCTGCTGCTACTGCTTTGGGTTGCGAAGTACGCGGCAGGGCTCCGGGTTCATGGCTTACGGAGCAAGCCTGCTCGCGTTCCGGTTGCTGCTGCTGCTGCTGCCGCTGCTGCTGCTGCTGCTGCTGCTGCTCGGGTTGCGAGGCCGCATGCGGCGGGGTGAGCGGTTTGCTGCTAAGAGAGTAAGACAGGGGGAGACAAGGAGACAGCAGTTAGGGTTTAAAGGGTTTTAAGGGCGCTGCTGCTGCTGCTGCTGCTGCTGCTGCAGCTGCTGCAGCGGCGGTTGCGACCGCAGCAACCGACGAGGCTTCCGTGGATCGGGCTGCTGCAGCAGCAGCAGCAGCTGCTGCGGCTGCGATTGTCTTTTTAATTAGTTTTGAAATTAAATTTTATAAAAGTATTTATTTTTAAGTAAGAATAAACTGCGTCCCCCTATTGCTTCTTTCGCAGCAGCAGCAGCAGCAGCAGCAGCCTCTCAGGGCCTCACCAGCATGGCTGTGTGGGCAGCTTCTGCATCTCACCTGCTGCTGCTGCTGCTGCTGCTGCCGCTGCAGCAGCAGCTGCAGCAGAGTCGTTGCTGCTTCTGCAGTTGAACAGCAGATTTTGGGTTTGTTTGCAATCAGCGAAAAATATAAAAAAGTAATTTGCTGCTGCTTCTGCTGCTTGGGGTGTATTTACAGCTGGTGGCTCTGAGCGCAACTGATCTAGGTGCGGCTGCTGGCTGCCTCTGGGAGGGTTTGGCGGTGTCTTTTGCGGTTTTTTCTTGTTAAAACCCTTTTTTAGGGTTTATTTTCTTTTTTTAGCATTTTTTTGAGCTCAGTTGGGCCCAGGAAGAAGCCCAACAGCAGAAGTTGCTGCTCTGCTGGTGCTGCTCCTGCTGCTGCTCCGGCTGCTGCTCCCGCGGCCACAGCGACGCGTCGCACTGCTGCTGCGCCGCCTCCGCGAAGGGTTTAGGGTTTAGGGTTTAGGGTTTAGGGTTTAGGGTTTGGAACTTGCGCTCAGGTTCCACTGCAAAATGGCGGAGGCTTCGCACGAGTCGAACGGCGCCGCCGAGGGTTTGGTGGCGGACGCAGCAGCAGGCGCAGCAGCAGCAGCAGCAGCAGCAGGCGCTGCAGCCCCCGCGGGGGGGGCCCCCAACGGGGGCCCCTCCGGGGACAAGGGGCCCCCCCCTGTGGAGATTAAACTCTTTATTGGCAGAGTCCCTCAGGCCGTAGAAGAAGATTCTTTAAAACCTGTTTTTGAAGAATTCGGAGAAGTCCGAGAAGTCATAATCATTCGAGACAAGGCCACTGGCAAACACAAGAACAGCGCCTTCGTCAAGATGGGTGTGCTGCTGCTGCTGTGCTGCTGCTGCTGTGCTGCTGCTGCTGCTGCAGGGCTGCTGCTGCATTCCCGCTGCTGCAGTGCCGCTGCTGCGGCAGTGCTGCTGATGCTGCTGCTGGTGCTGCTGCTGGGGAAGTGGGAGGGGCTGGGCGGGAGGGTTCCTTGCTGAGGGGCTGCTGCTGCTGCTGCTGCTGCTGCTGCTGCTGCTGCTGCAGCTTCGATAGCAGCAGCAGACAACGCAATTCGGGCGCTGCACAACAGCAGGTCTTTGGAGTCCGCGATGGGCCCCATGACTGTCAAGTACGCCACGGGAGAAGCCGAGCGCCTGGGACTCAATCCGCAGGTAACTCCTCACTGGCTAGCTAGCTAGCTAGCTAGCTAGCTAGCTAGCTAGCTAGCTGGCTGGCTAGCTAGCTGGCTGGCTAGCTGGGTTGCTGGGCCGCTGGAGGGGTGGCTAGCTGGCTGGCTAGCGGGGTTGTTGTCTGGCTGGAAGGCCAGACCGCTAGCTAGCTGGCTGGCTAGCTAGCTAGCTAGCTAGCTGGCCCTTAGCTAGCTAGCTAGCTAGCTAGCTGGCTCTTAGCTAGCTAGCTAGCCACGTAGCCAACCGGCCCGCTATCAGGGTAGCTAGCTAGCTAGCTAGCTAGCTAGCCAGGCCACCACCCGCTGCCATAGCTAGCTAGCTAGCTCGCAGCGCAGCCAGCTAGCTAGCTAGCTGGCTGCGAAGGCTGGCTAGCTGGCCACCAGTGCAGCTAGCTAGCTAGCCAGCTAGCTAGCTAGCTGTGTGGCTAGCTGTTGCGTTCAGGCCTGCGAGCCGGGAGTGCCGCAGGCGAAGCTGTTTGTGGGGAGTTTGCCGAGGACTTTGAAGGAAGAGGAACTCAAGGCCTTTTTCCAAAACTACGGAAATGTAACCCTTTTCTAGGGTTTAGGGTTTGGGGTTTAGGGTTTGAGTGTTTGTCTTATTTAGATCTCCTTTTGTTTGAGTCTTTCTTCATTTGAATCTCTACCAAATATCTCCCTTTAAAGTGTCTCCTTTTTTTTTCATTCTGCCGCTGCTGCTGCTTGTGGGGAGGGATCTCGTGCTGCTGCTGCTGCTGCTGCTGCTGCTTGTGGGGAGGGATCTCGCGCTGCTGCTGCAGCTGCTGCTGCTGCTGCTGCTTGCATGTGTGTTGCTGCTGTTGCTTGGGTATCTGCTGCTTTTGCTGCAGCAACAGCAATTTTGTCGTTCGAACTCTGAAACTTCCGCGTTTTTCTCCTCGTCCCCCACTGCTGCTGCTGCTGCTGCTGCTGCTGCTGCTGCTGCTGCTGCAGGTGGAGGAGGTGTTTGTGATGAAAGACGGAGCCACGGGCCAGGGAAAAGGTTGTGCTTTTGTCAAAATGAGTCAAAAAGAAGCAGCTTTTTTCGCAATTAATTCTTTAAATGGAAAACATCTTTGGGAGGGATGCAACAGACCCATGGAAGTCCGCTTCGCAGAAAGCAAGGCCCAGAGGCAGCAAATGAGTCCGCTGCTGCTGCTACTGCTGCTGCTGCTGCTGCTTTTGGTGCTGCTGCTGCTTTTGACGCTGTTTCTGCTGCTGCTGCTATTGTTTTTGATGCTGTTGCTACTGCTGCTGTTTTTGATGCTGTTGCTGCTGCTGCTTTTGATGCTGCCGCTGTTGCTTCTGATGCTGCTGCTGCTGCTTTTCTTGCTGCTGCTGCATTTGCTGCTGCTGCCCCCTCGCCGCGCCGCAGCAGCAAAACCCCAATTCAGGGTGTGCCCCTTTGCTGCTGCTGCTGCTGTTGCTGCTGCTGCTGCTCAGTGGGCGGGGCGGTGGGAATGGCAATGGGGGGCATGTCTCGTGGGGGTTTGGGGGGGGCCCCCATGGGGGGCCCCCGGGGCCTGCTGGCGGGGGGGGGGCCCCCCCGGGGC